GGGATTCATTTCGCACTGAACCACGTTACAAACCAAATGCTCCAAGCCGCCTGTTCTCCCTCCTCACCTGTGGTGGCGCTAAACCAGGAAACATTACAGGAAACGCTTCCTTTTTCACTAAATGTGAACAACAATGATTTTGCGGCAGATTTCAGCGGTTGTAAGATGTTTTTTTTTTTTCTTCTTGTTTTTGGTGAAAGACCACAAATCATTTTTTTCCCTCTAGCATTAGTCTTTCATGTTTGTTTAGTTTGAATTTACCCAGAATACTCTGTGCTATAGTCTGCTTCCTGTTTTTGGAGCGATCTCAGGCCCGCTTGCATCCACATTTGCTTTCAAACCAAGTTCAACCGAACCAGTACCTAGGTTTTTTTAGAGTTTGCTTTTTTGGTCCACATCAGAGTTTATTGCGCATTCACACCTTCAAAAACAAACCGGACTTTCTAGACAAACAAACTGATTTGATTAAAGCGGACTAAACAGGGCTGGCGTCAATGCACCCTTAAAAACTTCTACCTTCAGAGTCTTTATAACCCTACTGTTGGCTTTTATTTGCTTCTAATAAACAAATAATTGTTCAATAATACACAAAACATGTTCTATTGGTGTGCAAAGTATTGGGAAAGGAAGCGCCCTCCGTCCATTTTTAGCTTCAATTTGAATATTTTCCGACTGCACAGACCAGATCTGCTGTTTCTCTGGAGTACAATCAGTCGCTTGCCGAACTGATCGAATTCAAATGACGTCGTCCTACTCTGTTATTTTAGTTTAACTGCATGCAATTAATTGCGTGACAGGGATCAGACAGCTTGTTCCGCGAAGGGCAGACCGGGCAATGTTTGTCTATCGGCTCAGTTCGCCTGTTTGTCCTTTTCTCCGGTCGCTTTACCTTGGAGAAAGATAACATTCAAATGAGAAAAATGAGATAGGGAAGGCATTTCTCTGGCTGCGTGTTCAGCGCCTGTACATTAGAGATTTATATGTTAATAGGGATTGCTCCTGCGGTCAAGCCGGACCACAAACAAGCGTCTGATTTTACATCTCCTGTTGGCTCTGTGGCCTTGCCTCAGGTCATTATCAAGCTACTGCCTCAGATATCGACTTGTTTTTTAATCCTCTGCGTTTTCTGGTCCTTACAAGCTTCCTTTCCCCCACGTGTAAAAGCCAGCAATCCGGAGATCGTCTTTGGTTTTCTCTTAAACCTGTCCTCACATATATTATTCATTTAAAATAATTGAAGTGTTGCGCAACAAGCAGAGAAGCTCTCTCAGCACCACACGGTTGTGGTGGATATTTAACAAATGAATTGCAATTTTCCAAAAATGGTACCGCTTCGTTTGTCTGAGCCATTTAAAGCTTTAACTTTACTTCATTCCTCATGTTCTTAAAAGTACTAAATTTCCTATTATCAACAGATTTAAAGCTTATGTTACACCAAAAGCAATGTAATTGTGAAGTAGGAGGGAAAAAATGTATATAAATTCTGCCACAGATTCTGTCAGATTTATATCTGATCTTTGACTGGGCCATTCTGTCACCTGTATTTGCTTTGGATGTGACTTTGGTACAGAAGTGATTAGCTGCCAGAGCTTAGAAATAAATCCAGTGACAGCATCTTGTTCTAACGAAGTGCAAAAGTTGTTAAAACAAGACAATTTGTCTTTACAGTAGTACGAGTTTTATCACTTTCTCATGAGAAATCTTCTCGGTAAAACTAGAAATCTTCTCGTTGTGGCGACATGCAAAGCGAGAGTTTCTTGTTTTAACGAGGTATAAAAATCCTCTCCTAACGGATTACGTGTTAAAAAAGCATAAAGAAGTTTATGGGTTTTCCAATCACCATGAAAACATAAATAACTCATCATAGTCAACAGTTCTGAAAACCAACTAACTAACTAATCACAATAAACTTTGATTTATCGTGACGTTAAATTCCAATTAATGACGTTTAAAAACCCTGAGCGCTATCTGCGTTGTCAGAATTATTATTTTTCCTATTTGCTCCAGTGTTCAGTGCAAATAAATTAGAAAATATGATCAAATGAAGTTACCATGTGCAGCTTAGTGATACAAATCACACTTCTTTATGTGACTGGAGTCCTGAAGACGCCTATTTTAGATGTTTTTCCAGAGCAGATTTAGTTTGGGAGGCTGTGAGATTTTTTTTTTTTTCCGTCTTCCAGTCATCAGTAGATTTATTCCAGATTTCTCAATCTGTCAGCCACAATCATGTTGCACCACAGTGCAGGAGTTTCCTAAAAGAACAGATTTTTTATTTTTTTTAATTCTAGCATTATGTCCAGGACCAGAAAGTGAAACAACTTTTGCCTTAGAATTAAAGAACCTATAAAATAACTAAGCCAAATGCGCTGCAAGCACTTGAAGAGTTTATCGACGCATTTCAAGCAACTCTTGTAGCAGTTTTGGGATTTGACGCTACGACTCTGAAGGCCTGACATTTGTCACAGCCTGCTAAGTCAGCTCATGAAAAGCGCTGACCTGTGCAGACGGCGCGGACGCACTGCTGCAGAGGATGGCCTCGGCTCGCGCCAACGCCGCTTTTTGTGATGCATCTGGTGTGCAGATGTGGGTCAGTTCCCCTATAAGGGTCTCCTTTCTAAAAAAGCTCCTTAGGAGAACTGAAAGCATCGATGCTTCCTGATTTGTTTTCCACGCTGCGCTGCGTCGTCTGTCCATGTTTACGTTTCAGCAACTCACTGGAGTTTTTGTGAAAATTTAAATGGGCACAGATAATTGACAAAGAAAATATTTTGAATATGCCGGCAGCATGAGGTTCCAGTTAGGATGTTAGATTTATTTTCTAGTTTATGAAAGCAGCACTGCTGCTAAATTGAACTCAGATGTTTAAAGAAAGTTTACCAAAGCTTTTTGGTACAGGAACATCTCAACAACAACAACAAAAAAAGATTAATTTAAAAGTTCTTTTACTTAAGGAAACTCATAAACACTAAGATACTTCAACTCTTCTCATTCCTAATTTTGATCAACATAACATACAGCTGGTAAAACCCAAACTGTAGCTACTTGGTAAAGAACAATGTCACATTATAACCATAAAAAGTTTCTTCTTTCAGAAATGTGACGTTGCAGTCTAAACCAGGGGTGTCCAAAGTGCGGCAGAGGGGCTGTATACAGCCCTCTGAATAATTTTGTGTGGCCACCTGCTGTAACTTGTACTGCACTCTACCTCTCTTCTCTTCAGGCACTTGCCTTAACACTAACAGCTCGTTGCCACACTGCTGTACCGAGGAGGAAGAGGAGGAGGCTGGTGAGGAAGGAGTGCAGGATTTCTCCAGAGATTAACTTTCAGCAGGCCTGGCCTTGGTTTGGGTTAAAAGCCCAAGCTGCTGATCAGGCGTTGCTTGGTGACAAGCACAGCTTGGCAGATTATGAGTAGCTGCTCCCCACAATAACTTGATCTCGCGGTTGTTTAAGTGGTAGGTTGTTGGTGGGATACAGCAGCCATGTTGTCACCTCTGAGTCAAAGTGCAGCGTAACTCTAAACCACTTTGACGTGCCTTCGTTCACTTTATGAGCAACATTTGTTTTCCTCTATCATATATTTAAATTGACTTTCAAAAGTATTCATACCTCTTGAACTTTGAATGATGGGATAAACAAACAAGAAGTGGTGCATAACTGTGAAGTGGAAGGAAAATAAACAATTTTTAAAATGTCTAATAAGAAAATCCTAATGTGTTGCATGTAACGGTGGGTTTTTATCGTACCGTTTATCATTTATTGTGAACATTTCTTGTCACGATAAGAATTTAAATGTATTCTTATGATAAGTTATTGATGGTAAATAATCAAAACTGACTGCAGGATCAGATGTTATTTTTTAATATTTTCTTGGCTGTTTGTTCAATGAGAGCCTCAATAAATATCAGGAAAATTAAAAATACAATTAACTGCAGTTATGGTGTTTGTCTGAATCACATTTGTTTTTTTGTTTTGTTTTCTTTTTTTTTAGTAAGGGGCATCACAAGGAAGCCAATTTCAAATGGGAATGTTTTTCAAGAATAATATTTATTTGTGGTACCATAAAAGCTGTGAATAGTAACCTAAAACATAAGTCAACTTTTTACCCATGATCTTTATTATTATCACAATAGTACCACAAAATATCAATAAAATTCTAAGTCCATGTTTCCAGCGACTTCATTGACAAACTGTCAAAATGTGAACACCAGGGTGCCTGGACATTCTTAAAATGTCTTAAATTCATTTATCTGAAATTAAAGCCTTAAAATGTCTTAAATTTGTTGGAAAATATGTAAGTCGGCCTTAAATATGTTAATGACAGGTGAGTAACTCACGCAGAGATCTTCATTGTGTTCTGTCTCGATGCGTTTGAGGCTACAGCTAACTAGCTGCTAACTGGCCCATGCTAGCTATCTTTTTTGCATCTATAATGGGTAAGCGTAAATTATCACCAGTTGGCTGGAGAAAGATTTTTGTCTTTGCCACTGCCTCACTTGTGTTGCCAACCCAAAAATGCTTGACACTACTGCATAAAATGTACCATTGTCTTTTGTACTTTTCTGTCATGACATAGGTCTTAAATTGTATTCATAATGGTATTAAAAAGGTCTTAAATTTGAGTGAAACCCTGGAACACTTTAACGTGTAACGGTGAAAGATGAACACCTTAAAAATGATGAGAGGAAGTAGCAATGCTGAAGCTGCTACCTAAAGAAGACACGCAGGTTGGACAAAAACAAACACCGGTTGGTAACTTTGCATTTTGGCTGCTGCATAAAGATAAGGAGATCCTTATTTGAAAGCTGTCAGCACTCTCAATTTTACCGTTGCCTTGCGTCCGTCCTCTTTCTCGACATCCCCTTGTTTTGCGTTCGTAGCTGACAGACATCCCACAGGGGAAATCAGTTCCCAGTAGCACATCTCACTGAAGCCACGGCCTCATCTGGGCATATTTACCAACACTTTCTGACGTCTCACTTTCTGTTTTCCTCTAGGCTGCAGAGTCTGGCATTGTGAAGATTAAAACCATTGCAGCCAGGAAAACGGACATACTGGCAGGTAAGCTGTGTTACATGGAAGGTGAGGGTGACATGTTGCATTTCCTAATGTCAAAAAACATTTTTATTGATGATTGTGGGCTAAGAATTATTCAGTATATTAACAGTAGCATATTTTATTTATGAAATAGATGTTACTGAGGAAAAAAACGTGATTGCAAAAGGAATTAAAGGTAAACAAAAGCCTGAAAAACACAAATTTAAGAGAGGCTCAATTTGCAAGTGGTAGCTCATGCCAGACCAAAGGTTAAAAGGTCGTGGTGTTGTAGTCCAGATTTATGGCCCTCTTAGACTGACGTTGAGTGCAGTGCTGTCTGCTGCAATGACACATCTAAAACCCCACTAAGAATAATGACAGCATATAGAATTCCTTTTTCTTTTACAAAACAGATTTTCTTTGTACACATCAGGGTAATGTGCACCATCCTACAAGAAGATATTTACAGTTTTGTGACATTTCAACAGAAATTCCAGCTGTGCTAAATTAAATATTCAGGAGAGAAAAAATCAGAAGGAAATTTTTTCATCTTTGCACTTGAACAGAAACTCACTCTTGTCAAACGAAGTCAAAATGGTTAAAGTTGTAAGGAGAATCATTGGTTCTTCATGCTGAGTTCTTTATGTATGAGGCTAAAGAAGAGTCGGTGAGCTGAATTCATAAATTCCATTTATTTATACCAAAATACACCTGGTCCATTCTGACATGCTACCTGTAAGAGCTAACATGCAAAAATGGCGACAAGCAACAGTTGGTAACTTCTTTTGTTAGCCTCTGTCTAAGCTACGCCCCAAAGAGGGCGTTCCCTAGTGTGTCATTTCTATTAAGCAGAGCTCTCATTTGCATTTTGTGTAGGTTTAGCTTAGCAACTAGCTAAAAAAGATGGAAGAAAAACACAGAATTTATTTATTCTCAACAGTTGACATGTTAAACTTCTTTTTAGTGTTTTAGCCTGATTAGTCTGATTGACAATGTTAGCATTACTACTTGTCATCTATCTCTGTCTACGTTACCCGTAATAGACCCTTACCTCAATTGTGAGATCTGGAAACGTCTCCTAATCTTGCTTGTTTTCCTGACAGACAGAAGTGAACCCTTCATAAGGATTAAATATGATCGCCATAGCTGTGGTACCGTCAGCTTTCTTTCACCTGCTGACGTCTCAGTGCTGGTTTGAAAGTAGTAACCTGAATGAACAGGCAACATGCCAACATTGAGAAAATTTAAAAAACTGCTTACTTTCTAGAGTAAGTTCATTTTTTAAGCATCTCTGATACTGAGAAGAGCTAACTCTGTCTTCCTCAGTGACTCATAGAATACAAGCAAAGAGGCTTTGTTATAGATTCGTAATCCCTTTTTGTTTTTAGCATGATAGCCGCCTCAGGGAAACATACAGAAACTGAGTCTGAGTCCTTACTGAAGGGAGTTGGTATTTAAAATGATGTCCTTCATTTTGGTGATCATACTCTACATCCTTAAAAATCTCAAATGCTTGCATCTGAAATTAAGGCCTAAAAATCTCTTAAATTAGTTTTATAAAGAAGTTGGCATATATTATGTTAATCACAGGTTTTAAGTTTTGTCTTGACAGGACTATTTACTCTTCTGTTGTTGTTTTTTTTGTCTCTTGGGACTTTTTTTCCAGTCAAAACTTTGAGTTGCACTTGGACATCATCATCGTATTTTGGGACTTGAGACAGTTGAGACTACCGGTAAATGGCTGCTAGCATACCCTGACTAGCTAACTAACCGTTGGCTAGTGACTCGAAGCTACTGGTAACTCACTGCTCACATGCCCTTGCTAGTTAGCTACCTAGCTTTTTTGGGTCTATCATAGGTAAATGGAAATTTATCACCAGTTGACTGGTCAAAGTTTGTACATTTCTGTACAAATAAGTCTTAAATCCCATTCATCATAATCTTAAAAAGTTTGAGTTGGTGTAACCTGCAGAAACCCTGCTCTAGCACTGATCTTTTGCGGCCTTCATTCAAGTCTTCTTAGCTGCCAAACTGCTCTGATTTGCAGCATTTTCATGTCCAGTAAATGAACTGCATTGTGCTTTTCTACATTTACAACCCCCTCAAAGTGCGCTGAAGTAATATCCACACATTATTTCTGCAGACCAGAGGGGGTGGGGTCACGGTGTCACCTAATTGCGAGACAACTCCTCTTCCTCGCAGATCCACGCCCACCCTCCTCATGAATAGAAAATTGTTTTGGTACATTCCTCGACAAATCCAGCTTTTTATGATTTCCAGTAGCGAAGCATAGCTGACATTTTCTGAGTGAACAAAGCAGCCCCTCTGTAACTGTACACTGTGCAACTATGACAAATGGTTGTTACAGAGTCTGTGTGAGCTTTTGGATTTGAAACACAGTTGCTATTCTGGTATTTAAGAGAGAATTGCCTTTTATTCCAGAGTTAAAACTGAACAGATGGTTGTTAGAAAACAAAAATATGACTTGAGTTCATTTAATTCTGTAAATGATCCGGTTTCAAAGACTAATCCCACTGATCAGAATTTTGGAGCCAATATCCTATCATCACCCTTTGACCTGTTTGACGTAAATTTGCTAAATTTTTTATTTGTTTTTAGGAGATGTAATGCAAATATTCTTATTTTATTTCATTTTTTTAAATCTGTTTTTCTATTCTCTGTTCTGCCGTCCTGTTATCTGCTTAAAGTCTTGCTCTCTCTCACTTTCTCACAGCCTGAATAAACCACAGTCTCAACAAATTCAGTTTACTGTTAAATAGCTTCTTTCCTTCACCAAATCTGAAATTGGATAACCTGGAGTCTTCACTCAGTACTCGCTTCCTCATTGTAGAGTGTTGCCATCATGGTGATCTGAAATAAGAAAGGATTTCTGAGTTCCTGAGCAGCTAAATTGCAGATGAAGCTAAAAACATTTCTCGATTCACGTTACCATCCGATTTCCACAAGCATTTCCTCTTTCAAAATAGATGCTTCAAAAGTTTGTGTTCTTAGTCCTTTTTATAAATTTATGTTTGTGTTTTAATATTTCCATTTTGATGCTTTTTACTAGAGTAAATCACACAGCAGTACCCTTCTGCTGTAACGTGACATTGCTGATCTCTGGTGTTTTGCTGCAGCACTGAAGGAGAACAGCTCAGAGGTGGTGCAACCTTTTCTGATGGGCTGCGGCACCAAAGAGCCAAAGATCACCCAGCTGTGTCTGGCTGCCATTCAGAGACTCATGTCTCATGAGGTAGTGTCTGAGGTAAGGACAGAGAGCAAACACAAGGACTCAGGCAGCTGACGTCAACAACCAAATGTGCTTGTACATAAACAAATACCCTAAGGGGAAAAAAAAAGTAGAATTTGATGAACACAGAAAAGCCTCTTGTTGCTTCTCATTAGGTTTTGCTCTGATTCATGAGCATCTCATCATGTTTTAGTATTTAATAGAGATGTGCCGATCAGGTTTTTTCCTCCCGATACCGATCACCCATGATGGCCGATACACCGATACCGATCACCGATACCGATCACC